TGGCTGCAGCTGGAGTAGAGGTACGTTCTGCATGAGTCATTTGAAGTAGAACCTGAAATTTCTTGTGTCAAACACTTCCCTCACAGGAACTGAGAAAGTGTCTTACTGAATGACCTAAGATAAAAACTGCCAGTTGTCAAGTGATGCAGATTATTATTTTATCATCAATCATCAACATTACAATATAGTCTGGAGAGATGGATCGGCAGTTAAAACACCTGAGTTCGATTCCCAGTGTCCACTTGTGGCAGCTAATAACCACTTGCAACTCCAGGTCCAGATCTGTACCTTCTACCACTCTCCCTGCACACATCATACACACACACACACACACACACACACACACGCATATGAAAAAGAGAGAGAATAAAAACAAATCTGACACTAAGAAGTGTAAGTAGTTCATCAAAACTATACATTTTCTTTAAATTTAAACTATAATAAAATGTAAAACCTGAAAGTTATACCATTTAGAGAAAAAATAGAAACACGAACATTACCTTCTTGATGTGGCTCAGATTCTTTAATATTCAGTGAAGTATGCATGGCGACTGTAGTTGTAGCAGATGCATGGTCCTGCTCCCTGCAGATATCACAAGCATAATGACTTATTTCAGGAAAACATTTAGATTATGGGATATGGTTTTAGGACAAAGTACTTCTTTTATCAATATGAGAATAGTTTAAGCTACATTTAAAAAAAGACGGGATGGTGCCAAAAGGTACCTGGGAACAAGAATTCCTGAAAATAAGGTAATTCTTTAGAGGCTGATGAAGACTATGGAAAGTTTGGCTGTCACAGACCCAGAGGCTAATTATTATCGTGGACAACCTTGAGACCCTTAAGGAGGCATTCTTTGTCCACCTCTGTATCAGACCTAACAGCCCATAAACAGATGAAAAGTTTTAGAATATATTTCCTTCACCAGAACTGATTCACCACCAGTCAAAGGGTTGAGATGTGATCAGATAGCACAGAGATCTATAGTTAAGATTCCACCACATGGCTATAACCCACCTCTATATTGTTTCCAACATCTGTATTTTAAAAACACCTTTGACATGTGACTTCTTTGTTCTGCTGCCATAAAATTGATTCCATATTGAAACAATTGAACTTGGTTTAATCTAAATTTGTGTTCTCAGGCCATAGCCAATCAAATTTAGATCCAAAATAAATTCTGTTATCTCCTTTGAGATGAGAGATGTGTTTTTGTGTGTATGCATCCATCTTTTACAATCCTAATGATGTCTCCACCCCTTGCTAGCTACAGCCTTTGGAAGAGTGGGCGACACCTAACCTGGACAGCATTGTAGAGCTGGCCCTGATGGTGTTGGGTACAGATGAACCAGCCCAAGGTTATGACCCGGTCCCTTGTTGGTCTTTTGGTGGCATGGGCACAGGAGAAATTCAAGCTGTCCCCCATTGGTAGCCTGCAGCAAATGGGAGAGATGCCCCCACCAACACTGCCACCAAGGTAATGTGTTAGAGCTGGCCTTGGTCACCCACTACAGCACTCTAGGGAGCAGGCTCCACTTCTTGATGGGGCAGCATAGTAAAGCTGACTCTGGGGGACATGACCATGAGAGAGAAGATCAAGGGACCATCAATGTGTGAGCTGGACCTATCCACTGTAGGGCAGAACTACAGAGCTGGCCCTGATGGCACACTAGAGGGCCTGTCCTTCTCCTTGCAGGCTGTTGTAAACAGGAGAGCCACTCCCACCTCTTGCATGTGTAAATCAAGAGACCTGGCCCTTGTTTGTTTTTTGTGGGGAAGGTTGCAAGGGTGGATGGAGGACATGGAGGGATGGGGCAATGAGTGGGGTCAGAGTTGATGTGACATTCAGAGAGAATCAATGAAAAAGTTTTACAAATGTTAATGGTGTCCTATGCTTGCTGAGAACCTAATATACAACTCATGGTTTTAAAGGTGGTTTTCGTTCTTTAGTGATTTAGTCTTGAGATCAACCCAAAACAGACATTGTAAGGAAATGCAAGCTATGGAGTAGGGTACTGAGACACAGGAACACCCAGTAGCATGACCAATGTAACGAACCTAATACATTCAAAAGGCCATACCCAACTCACAAAGCCATCTCAGAACTCCTAGATTTTAATAACAAAAATAATGTAGAGATACTAATTTCTTTTTACATTAGGAACTCTATAAAATTGTGCCCCCATTTTCCAGGAGAGTCAATTTGACTTGCAAGAGTAATGTAGAAAACAAGAAGTATTTTACCCACATGAGGTCTCCTGAGGAGATAAGTGTTGTTAATTACAGTACAAGCCAATAGGCAGGATGTTAGACACAGGCTCCTGCCCTGTTCCATTCTGAATACACACACTGTTCCTTCTGCTTACACTCGGGTTTGGATGAAATACTACAAATGCATAGCGAGAAGAAAAGGTCAGTGTTTCCCTGCCACTGTCATTCCTGTAGCTCATGTCTTAGTCACTGACACAGCTCCTTTCATAAGACACATGCTAAAACTTCCCTTAATACATAACTGGCTCACCTGTGTACTTGACACCAAGTTAAAAGAAAATAGCTTTCTTATTTCATATATTCTATGGACAGGACCTTTAAAATGAAAAGTGAAATTAGTCAATAAAGATTTGTTTACTCTTTCTGTTTTCTAGTTTGAAGAACAATTTATGAAAACTCGGGATGACCTGGAAAGGTTGAGAAATGGTAAGAAACAGATCTAAATGTTCCTGAGGAGGGTTCTGGTGGAAGATTTAAACATTAAATTACTTCCCTAATTCTTGTGTTGACTGATGGATAAGGTGGTAGGTTGTAAGTCTTCGGTCTTCTCTATGTGCAGATCTAAAAATCTCTCAATTAAAGGAACTGAAAATCTCTTTATAGTTGCCATGCAGAGCCTCATGGATGTCCCATCTCTGCTTTCACATGCTCTCTGCCTTAGCTCAGGCTCCCACAGTGCCCTCCATCCACATACAAGTCTCTGGATGCCAGGAGCAAATATGTCAATCACTTACCTTGAGTTCTAACAGGTTTAACATACTGATTCGCTAATACTGTTTTCTAAGAGTAACAGAAAGATTAGACTGGTTATGTGGAAGACTATGAGAGAGGGTAAGGGGAGAAAGAGAGAAGGCCAACACCCTTGAGTGAAGGTCACTGAGCTTACCCAGCACATGCTGTCCCTTGGTATTAGTTGAAAAGCACACAATGCCCCTTGATGTTAGTGAAAAACATACAGAAACCTACATAGAAGCAATTTCATGATTTTATTTTTATGTCATGAATAGGATAAAACTTTAGGACTTTCTTTTTTTATTATAAGGAAACCCACTGACAGTACAATTATACCTCCTTCTACTTCTTCCCAAAATATACGTGAAGATGAAATAAACACACCATCACATCCTATCAACAGATACAGTATTAGGGTTCACGGTAAGAAATAAAAACACCAGTAAAATAATAGGCTACATCTTAGAAGACACTAAAGGTGCAGGAAACAAAATATTAAGTGCTATTTTCACTGAGTAATTACTTTTTAAATTTTCAGTCATCTCATCAAATATGTTGTTTTAAATGTATCTTATGATAGATTTTAAACCGTATTCCACTTTCTACTTCTCTTTACTTCATCCAATAGATGGGAGTCTGATGTTCCAGCAAGTGCCCATGGTGGAGATTGACGGGATGAAGCTGGTGCAGACCAGAGCCATTCTCAACTACATTGCCTCCAAATACAGCCTCTATGGGAAGGACATGAAGGAGAGAGCCCTGTATGGTAGACTTTCTCTGAATCAATAAGGTCCTATCTTGAGTAAGCAGAAGCAGGGCAAGGGATTCATGAACACATTGGGGTTGTGTGCTTGGATGCACATACACTGACATCAGTTAGGAGGAGTCCCATGGAGATGAGGGAAGAAGATGAGGGGTTAGAGATGTGTCGTTGTAGAATAGGAAATGTTGGAGTCCTGTTTCCAAAAGACTTGTTTAACTTTGCACAGTGTCCAAATCTTTGATTGACAGTAAAGAGAGTGATACAAAGATCTGACCTTCTAGGTCTGGCCATTACAAGATATATAAACATTACCATGACCCTAGGTTACCATCTAAATCAACATACAGTCAGCCTGCCTGTGACTCATAGAGTCTGGTGCAGAGACACCAGGGTTGCATGATGCTTTTCATGGGAACTGAATGAAGGCTTTCTGATGCTGCCAGGACTTAATCATCAGATCTCCTCTCTTCTGTGATACAACCACTCCATTCAAACAAAAGTCTTCTGTGGAACTGTGGGTTGTTTCTCAAAAAGCTAAACATCAAGACACCAGCAGTTCCATTAATAGATGAATACAAGAGGAATGAAAATACGTGCTCAGGAATCATTGTACAGTGATGTACCCTGATGTGCTATTTATAATGTAATAAAAAGTTGAAAAAACTAAGCCAAGTGTTCACCAAAGACTGGATGCAGAGAGAACACTGCTTGCCAGACATTCAAATCATTCTAAGTAGAGTGTTTCTGGATGTGGTGACGTTTGCCTTTAATCCCTAAACTCAGTGACAAAGGCAGACAAACTTCTGTGAGTTTAAGGACAGCCTGTCACCATCATAAATTACAGGCCAACCAGAGCTACACAGAGAGATATTTTCATTTTAAAAAAAGTCTAAAAGCATTGCTAACCTACAATTAAAATCAGATTACTGTGACTGGCTCCATGACACCATCAGGGTTGAACTGTTTTACCATAACTGTTTACATCCTTTAGCAAAAACATGTGAGGCAAGAGAGCTTTGGCAGAATGCTTGTCTGTTTTTCAGCATTGACATGTATACAGAAGGTATGGCGGATCTGGATTATATGGTTCTCCATCACCCTTTCACTTCCCCTGAGGAGAAAGAGGCAAGTCTTGCCATGATCAAGGACAAATCAAGGAACCGCTACTTCCCTGCTTATGAAAAGGTGAGTGAAAGCTGACTGACCTTCCACACATTGAGAAGGTCTGATAGTCTTCAGGGGACAGTCTTGAGCAGCCAAAGTTGCTGTAACAAAATGCCAACCACGGAGTGAGTTAAACCATACTGAGGTATAAAAAGATCCTGCAGATTGATGTCTAGCCAGACTTGTTCCTTAGATCATGGATGCCTGTCTTCTATGTCTTCAATTGCAGACAGGTTGTAGGAGTTCTCTGGAGTTTTCTTGTTGGGAGCAGGGAAGCCATTCATGAGCACTTAACCTGTAGGGTCTATTTCCCTCTCAGGGGTCCTACTTACTAAGAGCATCGTGCTGTAGGCTGGGGATCAGTTCAAGACTGTCTGTATTTTGGGTTGCACAGGAGAATTGATCTAAAAAAAGAAAAAAGTGAGAAACTACAAGATTGAACTTAGGTTTCTCAGCAGTAGTTAAATTGAAATCAGAACCCAGTTTTTCAGAGCCTCTTTTTATTACAGAAGAGGCTTTTTAGGAAGTCAATTTCCACATGACAAAACCTCTTATCTGATCTAGGGATTGTCTGAAGGAACCATTTATCTAAGGAATTCTAAGAAATATGAGAGAGAGTTCCTAGTTTACCAGGTATGTCTCAGGACTAAGTTCTGCAAAGGCTCTAAGAATCCTTCAGAAGAGCAACCTTGTAAAATCTCAACTAACAATCACTGACTGTTTACAAAAGGCCACTTCAAAGCCCAGGTGCCTTCACTCCAGAATTCATGCCAGATGCTATGGCTCTGCTAATATTCTGTTAGACAAGACTAGGCTAAAACAGAGTTAGTTTGAGGCTAACCTGGGATATATGAAACCTTATATCCAAAGTAGGAAGAAGAAAGTATGAAAGGGATAAAGAGAGAGGAAGAGAGGGATGGAGGGAGGGAGGGAGAGAGACGTTGGGGAGGAGGGGAGAGAGGGAGGGAGGGAGAAAGAGGGAGAGAAGAAGAGAGGGCAGGAGGGATGGGAGGCATGGTTCAAGGGAGGGAAGGAGAGATGGTTCAGTGGTTAGGAACACTGACTGTTCTTTCAGAGGTCCTGAGTTCAATCCCAGCAACCACATGGTGGCTCATAACCATCTTGTAAAATGATCAGATGCCGTCTTGTGGTTCATCTGAAGACAGCTACACTGTATTCATACATAAAATAAATATTTCTTTAAAAAAAAAGAAAGGAAGGAAGAAAGAAAGGAAGGAAGGGACAAAGTTAGTTTTAAGAACACATTGGGTATCATCTATTTGATGGCAATGTCAGCATTCTATGGTGCTGGCTTTGTTGTATATATCCATTCCTCCTCATCTCTGCCCACACACCCTTCTTTCCACCAGCTAACCATGGTGTTTCTTTCCTAGCCTTTGGAAACTAATTGTAGCCATGGATTTAGTTAACCCTGTGATGCTTCAGCAGTGCTGACGATCCCAGAGCATAAAGAGCCTGAGCCAATGTTGCAGACGTGACAGTTCAGGCTTACTGTAGATGCCATAGACATGAGAACACTGGGAAGCAGAACGAGGAGGAAGATAGTCACTGAAACGGTCTATACATGTGTGAAGGGTGCAGTCACACAGTGAAGCCACTTCCCACAGAGACTACAGAGTGTATGTGGGCCACCCCCAAAATGTCATGGCTTTAGGGTGAGTAGGTAGAAATGATGTCTCTGGAGCTAGGAGCTTGCACATCTCTAAGATGTATGGAAATACTGATGACAGATGGTCAGAGATCTGCTTCTTGATTTTATCATGAGCCAGGGCCTAGAGACAAGCATGGGCCCCATCAGCACCTGACAGGGCAGGGAAGGAGCATTTGATATGAGCGGCTCAGGAGAACTCAAGGGTCCCCAGTCTGACATCAGTTGTCTTCAAGATCTAACTAACATCTTGAA